GATAGATAGATAGATAGATAGATAGATAGATAGATAGATAGATAAAGATCATCTAGAAAATGCCCGTGCATATTGAATAGAGGAGCAATCAGATTCCTCATCTCTATCTCAAGATGGATGTGTCTTTCCCCGGCAGGAGAATATGGACCTGGCATTCAGATTCTGTTAAAGTTGAATTTAAATTGGGATTATGCCATTGTTTAACAAAAATGTAAACTTATATTTAAAAAAGCATACTTTGGTAGCGACAGATGAACATCTCTTTCTCCTTACCCTTGATTTGAAGGCCACGTTGCTAAAAGAGAATGTAAGTGCACTAGTAATGACAATCTGCTTCTTTGGTGTCCAGACAATACTTTGCTCATGCAAGTTTATTTTATTTTTATTTTATTTACATGTCACATTTATAGAGAACTTTCCCACCTCTTTCACAGAAAGTTAGCAGGAAGGGTAAGACAATATTGTCTTCTGATGTGTAGTCACTGATCTTTTTCCTGTCTGTTGTTTTCTCCCCAAACAGAATCCATTCAAAGAGGAATGACAGGATTGGACCATGATAAATTTTAACTGGTGTTATTAGGATCCTCCTGGGTAGAATTTTCCTAGAGCCTCAGTTTGCTTTTCTTCTATATTGGCTAACACCACTTTATTATTTCTTTTAAAAAATCCTTTGCATCCTTCACCATAGAATACACAGATTGTTTTTCTTTTCTGGGCTGCCAACAAGGAAGCAGCAGAATTAAATACATCTTGAGTCAATAAGTAAAGCAGCTCCTTGTTGATCCATTGATTTTTAAATAGGCTTGGTTGGTTGTTTTGGTACAACTAATTTTTAAAGTTGAACACTTCAGATGTAGTGAGAGATGGTTCACTCGGACAGTTGGAGAAGCCTTGATTAGATTAGACAAGCAGCCCCATTTGATAACTGTCAGAATCCTTTGCAATATAAAAAATAAATCTATTTACAGGCAGGAAAAGTAAGGGAGTCAAAAGCTTGTGTTTGCTTGAGACCCCAATACCAGATGGTTAATCATTTACATCATCATTTCCAAAAAGACAAATTAACCTTATTTAGGATTTATCATCCTGAGACATAGTTACACGTGGAATATTTTACATTTTACGGGAAGCAGCTGTATCATGCAAGAGTTATACAACATGCTTTCGATAGCTCCAGGAGGACAAGCGGAGAATGAGTTTTGAGTCTTTGGAATCTCACCCTCCCATCTCCACTGAAAATGGTACCCTTCACAGGACAAGCATCACATTTGAATTCCTGTTCTGTTGCCTAGAACGGGTTGCTGGCTAGTGAAGATGGGACTTCCTGTTCTCAGAATCCCGTGCCAGCATGCTGACCAGGAATTCTGAGACTTCATTGCCAACGTCTCTGGAGAGGGACAGGATGTTGTGATGTTGGTCTCACATGTTGAATCCATTCTCCAGAGCGCTTAAGAGTATTATCAAAAGGGTGGCAACCTTTTGGGATTAAGGGCTCAGAAAGGGCTACGCCAGGTGTTTGCAGGATGCATTCTTCTGACCTCCATCCCAATCATCAACTGTAAGGCAACAATTGAACCTGTCCTATTGTTGAAGAAGCCAGCATTGTCGAAGAAGCCAGCCAGGAGTCTTTTAAAAAGTAAGCATACTTACATATAGTAAGCCTATGCTTCCATAACACAAGTTCCCTCACTGGGAGGCTTCATGAACTTCTGAGAAGTTCATGTAACTTCAGAACTTCCAATGGCCAGAAGAAACTTCTGTAGATGCACTGCAGAAGTGCAGAAGTTCTCATCTGGGGTTTCTAGCCGCTCAGGCTGTTCCACTTAATGGAAGTCCTGGAGAGACATCCCAGTAACAGTGTGGCAGCTTTGCCTTAC